CCCTCACTATATTAAAGTTATTGATGGAGATAACATGCATCCTATAAATGAGTTAACAAAAACAGTGAAATAAAATAAAAATTAAAAATTTTATATTTTATTAAGTAGTTTATATCAAAAAAATTTACATAAAATGGTATGCTATAAACCCCATGTGTAATAAAACTATTATCTTTAGGCAAATCATGCAAAAAACTTTTAAATTTAAAAAATATAAATTTAATTTACAGCTACCTTTTTACTTTGTTCATTTTCTCTTAGGTTAAGATTTATTTTCTTTTTTCAGTTTATGGTTTTTGTTTTCATGTTTATTTTGTTTACTTTCACTTTTTATACACCAATTTTGAAATGCGCAAAAATTATCATACTTTTCAGGGCAGGGCTTGAATTAAGCGTATCATGAATCACGATTGCTTTTCACACCTTAACAATTAGTTTATTAAATTTATTTTAAACGCGTTTTATGTTATTAAGGTTATAAACTGTATTAAACAGCAACAAAACTAAGGCTGACGACACCAGGGTGCATGTGTTTCCCCCCCTCCCACTTTTTTCTAAAGGACCTTTTTTTATAAGAAAATTCTAGATATAGAAGACTTTTTTTAAGAATTGATAATTGTGCCCCCTCCCCCCCCCTCCCCACACTTCATACTTTAATTTAGACACTTTTTCAAAAAATAAACTTAAAGAAATATTTTTGTCTCTGTGATATATTTCCTTTATTAGTACTGTCTGCCCAAATCTAAAATCTACATTGATGTGATATATGTGTACTGTCTGCCCAAATCTAAAATCTACATTGATGTGACATATGTGTGTGTATATATATATATATATATATATATATATATATATATATATATATATATATATATATATATATATATATATATATATATATATATATATATATATATATATATATATATATATATATATATATATATATATATATGTTATATATATATATATTAAATTTTTCAAAGAGAATTTAAAAAACAAAACATCAGAGTTATATTTACTTCAACAATTTAAATAACATATTATGCAACAACAAAACAAAACTACCTCTGAATTCAAATCCGGTAGTTGATATACTTAAATGCTCATGCGGAAATATATATATATTGGTGAGACCAAAAAGAAAATCATTTCAAGAAGTGCAGAACACCAAAGAGTTTGCAAAAATCAAAAATGGTCAAGTTCAGGAGCCACGGAATATTCTAGAACATGCCGTGTTAACTTTGATTAGTTAAATCCTAAGATCTTGGCAGTTGTTCAAGAATACAGGATACGAAAAATAAGAGAATCCCTGGAGGTTAACTGAGCGAAAGTTCAATATGAGATAGGTATTGGGTAAGGTGTTCTAAATCGAGATGACTGGGATAAGGTTAAAACACAAACTTGGGGACCCAAATTTGACAAAAATTTAACTGACGTCATTATTATATTATTTAATTGGTTTTTATATTTGACACTTTTTAATGTCTTCTTTTTAAACGGTATATATATATATATATATATATATATATATATATATATATATATATATATATATATATATATATATATATATATATATATATATATATATATATATATATATATATATATATATATATATATATATATATATCAATATATATATATATCAATATATATATATATATCAGTATATATATATCAATATATATATATATATCAGTATATATATATCAATATATATATATATCAATATATATATATCAGTATATATATATATATATATATATATATATATATATATATATATATATATATATATATATCAATATATATATATATATATATATATATATATATATATATATATATATCAATATATATATATCAATATATATATATATATATATATATATATATATATATATATATATATATATATATATATATATATATATATATATATATATATATATATATATATATATAAGTTATGCTACAGCATGGGGCTTTCAGTGGCTGGTGAACTTTAACTCAGATAAAATTTAATTTTTTTTTTGCTAATCATAATTGCAACAATCTATATCTTCATATATTTATGAACAGTAATGTACCAGATAAGTCATCTACCCTTTATCTTATAGGATTAACTTTTATTTCCAATCTTTCTTAGAAACTATATATCAAATTCATTGCAAAATTAGCATCTGCTAAGTTTGCATCTGTTAATCATACTTGCCATTTTCTTACTCCGGATTCTATTCTTTATCCCTATGATTCTCAAGTCCGTTCTTGTATGGAATACTGTTGCCATGTCTGTGGCAGATCTCCTAATGATGCCCTTTCTCATTTAGAAAAGGTAAAAAAAAATGAATTTGTGGGACCTGCTCTTGCAGCCAACCTTTAACCATTATCATATCATCATAATGTTGTTTCTCTTTATCTTTTCTATAAATACTATAATGGGAACTGCTCTAAAGAGCTAGCATTTCTTGTGTCATCTACTAAAGTTCATTGTCATGTTACCTATAATTTAATTAAGTCTTATTCTTTTACTGTGACTGTTACTAAGTGCTCCAAAAATGTAACACCAAAAAAATATTTTTTTCCTCGAACATCAGTTCGAGGAAAAAAATTTTGGAATTCACTTCCTTTATTTTGTTTTCCTGATTTATATAATTTGCAATCTTTTAAGTCATCTGTTAATTGTCATCTTGCTCTATAAATTTCATCTTTTCTTTTTCACTAACTTCTTACTCTAATAGTGGTTGCTTGCAGCCTTGATGGAAGTAAAGATGTTGAAAGAAAAAGAAAAAAAAACTTTTATGGTGTTTCGTCTTAATAGTTTATGGAATGGGTTTGAAGTTGGAAATGCTTATCTGTTAATTGCAAATGTTTTTGCAATTAACAGATAAGCATTATCTGTTAATTGCAAAAAGTTTTTGGCCAGCATGGGTAGATATGCTTTTATTGTAAAGTGGGTTAAAGCAAATTGTATAAGTTTTTTTTTTTGGGTGTCTTGTTTTTTGGATTGTACTTTAAGTTAAATTTTTTAAAACCGTTTTGTTTTAATGCTTCTTCATATTATATTTTTGATGAGTTTAATAATTTTTCATCCGATGAATTTTGTGATGATTAATAGAGAGAGGGATATGCTTAAGGACTTAAGATGTGTGTTTAATTAAGCGTGAATGTAGAGTAGGTGGCTATATATATATATATATATATATATATATATATATATATATATATATATATATATATATATATATATATATATATATATATATATATATATTATATATATAGATATATATATATAGATATATATATATATATATAGATATATATATATAGATATATATATATATATAGATATATATAGATATATATATATATATATATATAGATATATATAGATATAAATATATATAGATATATATATATATATATATATAGATATATACACACATATAGGCCTTGTTAAGAAGCGTTTCCCTATTCGAATTTTATGTACATATTCACGATTTTACGTACGCATTTTGCAATTTACGTTACACAAAAACTTTTTTCAATAAGTTTATTTTAAACAGTCTTTTAAAACAGATTATGCAGAAAACATTAAACTGTAATGGTTGTAAAAAACATTTGTGGAATATTTTTTTTAATTAGATAAAAAAACAGATATATCTTTTTTTCTATTTTCCGTTTTTAAAAAAAGAATATGTTTTGAATTTATTTTATTAAATTTTAGTTAATTTTATTATTATTCATAGTTGTAGTAATTTATTTAATTAAATTTAATTAAAATTCTTTTAAAAATTTTAAAACGCTGTTTTACAATTTTTTTTACTGACAAGATTTATGTTAAAGTAAAAAAAAAATTTAAAAAAATTTGATTCAAGTTACTTTAAAATGTTCACATTATTTATAGCTTCATTTTAATTTCAGTTAAGTTTCAAATAGTTCCAAATACGGGTCTAAATAACGGCGCTATTTATAGCACAAGTATTATTATTATTATTTTTTAATAAAATAAATATAAGCTAAGCTTTTAAAGAGTTTATTTATTGATCGCGTTATTTTTAATCCATTTAAAGTTTGGTTCGTTTTCTAAAAAAGTTCTTTAAAAGTTAAAAATTCTTTTATAAATTTATGATATCAATACAAAAAAGTTTTTCCAAACTCGAGTTTAAATGTTAAGTTTAGGTTTTCCCTTTGCCATTAAATTTTAAGTAAAAGAATTTTATAAAACAAACCAAACTTTAAACCGATTAAAAATAACGCGACCAATAAATAAACTCTTTAAAAGCCTAACTTATATTTATGTGCTATAAATATAAGATAGGTAAATTTCAAAATTATACTGATATTTGTTAAAAACAAGTTTTGGTAATAAAATCTTAAAACTGAAATACTATTTTTCTTTTTGGATTTAGTAAGAAATAGTAAAAATACATTAGGTTTCAAGGTACATAAAAATAAAATATTTTAATGAAAATAAAAAAAAAACTAAAGTCAAAAAGCGGTATTCTTCGTTTAACTACAATGTTTATTTTATCAAAAGCCAGTTAGCGCAAAGGTTTTTTTAAAAAGGAGAAAACCCAATCTAATTGTGTACACTTTTAATTTTTAAGAAAACAACCATAAACAAGAATCCCCTCATTCAAAAAAAATTTAAATTTAAAAATTTAAAAAAAGTTTAAATAAGTATAAGATTTTAAAATAAGGAAATTTTTTTTTAATCAACATTTAAATTTGATTTATAACTTTTTTTATAACAATATTGTTTAATTTAAAGATATAATTTTAAATTTAAATTTTTTAAACATTTAAAAGACATATATATATATATATATATATATATATATATATATATATATATATATATATATATATATATATATATATATATATATATATATATATATATATATATATATATTAAGAATTTTACTTTGGTAACTCCCTCTGTCCTAAACTTATTAGTTTTTAATATATAAATTTTAATTATTTAGGTTCAAAGACAATAATTGAATTAAAGATATCTGGTATTCAGTCCAAGGATCTATATGATCAAAGCAAATTGTATTGTGCAACACCTAACAGTGATTATCAGATGGATGTATATATACTATCAG